TTCAGATTTGAACTGTTCCAGGTCCTTCAGAGTCTTCACAGTTGGTTGCCTGTCATTAATTCTTTCAATATAATCTCAGAAAATACTTGCCTATGCATAACTTTTGGTTATCAGTATACTCAGTCTGAATTAAGTAGGTAAATATTCCAAACAAATTATTGCATTGAAATTTCATAACTGTGTGATAATGTAACAATTTCATAAACGTAATATTGTCTACCGTATGCAATATAATCAATAAACACATTGTAACATTGGAAGTGCATTGGAATTGAAGTAGATATATGGGTATATAACAAAACCAATGAAGACATTTATGCAATATTGTTTTGAATGAATCATCTTCATGGTCATACAACATATTAGACTATTGAGAAACAAGTGATTTCTAAATTATCATCAATGTACGTCGTAACTCGATATTAATCACAACCTTCAATGATCCATAGCGATCTGTTCAGGCACACGGCAGCATTACCATATTTGTATCGTTTCAGTGGTATATTATTATTATAATGACTATGGTACAAAATAAATCAAAAGGAAAACACAGTGAATTCTACCAGTAAGTATTGCTTAGGCCAGACCAATTTTATGGCAGATGGTTTTATGGATTTTTGTCCTCAGAAAACCTAAAGGCAGGAGGGGAAAAAAATAAAAATCACCAGTCAAAGAAAAAACCCACATGAGTTTCCATATTAACTCTTTTGGTTTGTTTATATCAACTAAAAATAAGTTGAGTGAGTTTACTTTTCACACAGATTTCAAGAGTATTTCACTTATATCACATCAACGTTAGGAAAATATTTTTTGAGCGGGAAAAATTAATGTTTATTTTTTTCATATTCTTGAAAAAATACGACTGCCGGATCCGGAAAACAAGAAATAAAATTGGTCTGGCCTTACAGCAGAAAAACTGAATTAAGTATACACCAAACCAAATTTTCACAAAGTATTTTTACGCTACTCAAAAGCAGCAATATGAAGGAAACTGATCCTTATCTTCATTTGAGTAGTATAAAACCATAATTCAAAACATATATATAATTCTAAATCAAATAAATTTAAAAACACCCTTCATGTTTAACAATAAAGCAAAGTAACACAATAAGCTATAAATATTCAAAATTCCTTCAAAATGGTACAAAACAACATCCATTTGTGACCTAATTCAGACTTGAGGCTAGGCATTTTTGTTTCATGGCTTACAGATGTATTGTTGAAATAAAACCTGTTTGGAAAAAATGCTTTTTGAATGCATGCTACCAAATAAAATAATGCTGAGTTGAGGTGCTCTGGAACCATTCAACAAAACAATATTAGTGCTAAGATGGCCACAGCTTACATACTTCAACACAGGCTCATATCAGTGCTAAGATCGCTTTGTTAAACGGATGCCCAGTCTTAGGAGTTTTGAAATCCCTTTTATTACTCGCCCGTGGAAGATACTGCAGTGTAATATTTTTACAGCAATATAACACTAGTGTAATACCGCTAGACGTATGACGTCATAATGGCTTACAGTTATGACGTCACAAAGATAATACCTCGGTCACGTTGCTATTAGACCTTGCTTGACTCGTGGAATGCTGAGAGTCATCACACTACGTACGCAGTTTCTATCAATTTATGTTGGAGAGTAATAAACAGATACTAAACTCGCTTCTGTGAAATACCATTTTTATTAAACTCGTGAAAGATTTAGCATCAAACTCGCTTTTGCTCGTTTGATACCAAATCTTTATTTCGTTTAATAAAAATGGTATTACACGGAAGGTCGTTTAGTATCCTCTATATATCTCATTTCAGAATCTGTAAACCAATTGTTAGTAAATGTCTAGCCAGATGGAAATGACCATCGCAACATGTGTTCCCCATAAATGATCCAGAAATGAGACTTAGACAAAATGAAAAACAGAGATCAGATGCTGGACACAAATGAGTTTGAGACGACGATTTCCAAAGTATATAACAACTCCCTCCATATTAACCCTGGAACAGATTCCCCACAGTAAGCAGCTGTTACACAACTATTACATATTTTGTCTGTATCTAAACCCATAGCACAATATACACTGAGTTATAAGTGTCACTATCACAGCGTAGGACAACAGAAGTTGGCTTCACACACTGTACCACACACTGTAACCCATGTCGAGAGAATGATCCCAAATAAACTTTTCACACGAAGACCAAAGTTTTCAAAATGACTAGAAGACTCTTTCCTCCTGTTTACACCAAGGTGACATAATGAAGGCAAGGAAAGATAACTCTTACATACTAATCAAGGGAATAGTTCTACACAGTTGACATTTGTAAAGCTCTCTGGGTATCTGAGGTAAAACATACAATGTACTGAGATCCCTTTGTGAGACAAGGCCAGACATTCAAGAAATTCATCTGACTTTAATTTATACAATGGTATTAAAACCATATTTTACAAGAAAAAACGAAGTATTGTGGAAAACTCTCTTCATTCAACCAGCGTAATACCTTAGTGGCCACAAAACGATGAGGAAACGTTACTATCACTTTACACCGTAAACTACATTCTCATATTGATGCCTATGTGGGCTAAGCAGGGCTCGATTTAAGAGATGTTAACCTACTTGCACCAGGTGCAACCTGAGATAAAAACCTAGTTGCACCAGACAAATGCCAGTTGAGCTGCTTTTATTGCAATATGTAATGAAAGAAATATGCTATTGATTTATTTAGATGTTTTATTCAGAAGTTTACTCACTCAAACATTGACTTGCACTTGGTGCAAGTTAGACTAATAACTAGGTTGCACTTTGTAATATTTGGTTGCACCAGTGCAAGTATCAAACCACTAAATCGAGCCCTGCTAGGTGAGACTCAAATATGAAAATATTCACCACCGGGTACCCATGTCACTACTACTTGAATTGTGTAGTAAAGTTTGCTAATCGAAATAGTAACCCCCTGTCAGGGGGACCCTCCCAACTTGCCGCCCTTTAAGGAGTACCCTCCCCACCCAATCTTGCAACCCTTGATGCAGGATTATTTAAAACAATTTAGTCCAAGCAAGGTATGCAAAATATAACTAAATTTAAATTACCCATGTTGCTATAATACAGCCTTGGGTATGGGTCAAGCTACTGATTGCTATTTGCGTAGTAAAGTTTACTTATCCAAACAGTAACGGAACAAAAATAAATTTTGTCACCCGAAAAGGAAGACCCTCCCTACACCAACTTGCTACCCTTGAAGAAGAATTATATCAATTCGGAACAACTTGCAGTCACAGTAACCTAGTAAAATGTAACATTTTAAATTAAAAATATATCCATCAAGCAGTTTAATGATTTATAAACTAATCATACGGAGACATTGTCAAACTACAAAATATTTTATTATTGGGAAAGTCAAAGAAATATGTGTCAAATAATTTTGGATGAATCAACATTCCATAAGCACTTCATTCGTTCACTTTTATTTTCTTAGCAAAATGAAATACAAACATTTACTATAAATACATGACATTAGTCTTTCTTGAGGGTAACAAATGTTTAAAAACTGATCATAAATGCTTAATAAAAATCAAAACACTGAATTCTGGAAACTACCACCTCAAAAAGCCACATCAACAAGGTCAACCTGACTGATATTGTGCCTCTTGTCCCTTTATATTCGCTGTATTTAGCTATCAGCACAGCGAAGATTCTATTTACATTATTTACAGCCTTTGGTCAAATCTAATCTGCTTGATGAATTTTATGATTCTTAAACTGATACAACAGGCATAACTAATATTAACGTCACGAAAGCCGATATAATGATAGGGATAGATTTCCAACCTTTGATTCAAACACAGTGACCTTCTACTCAGGGCAAAAAACATATATCTATGACCATCATAAGTTCATGTCAGAGAATGGGAGTTGCGATCATCGCTGCACTAAGATCACATTGTGCAAGTGGGCTTGATATATTAATAATAAGATGTTCCTCCCTGTTTCTACAACTCCTCTCCTTACATCAAAGTGAGTGAGTGAGTTTGATTTTACGCGGCTTTTAGCAATATTCCAGCAATATCACGGCAGAGGACACCAGAAATGGGTTCACACATTGTACTCATGTGGTCTTATATCATTAACAGTGCTCCAGATAGGTTTGCAATCACACGAGTGAGTGAGTGAGTTTAGTATCACGCCCTTTTAGCAATATTCCAGCAATATCACGGCGGGGGACACCAGAAATGGGCTTCACACATTGTACCCATGTGGGGAATTGAACCCGGGCCTTCGGCGTGACGAGCAAACACTTTAACCACTAGACTACCCCACCGCCCCTCAATCACATGAGGACAGTACCTGTCATTATAACAACCAATGAGGCAAGACAGGTTTTCAAACCAATATTTATAATACTGCTTGTTTGTAGAAATAATGACCACCATTATGAAATTGTGCTAACTGATTCAAATGCGTTATTACTAACCAGTAACAGAGCATGATTGAGTTTGGTTGGTTGGTTGTTAATGCCGCACGCAGCAATATTCCAGCTATATGGTGGCGGTCTGCAAATAATCAAGTCTGGACCAGACAATCCAGTGATCAACAGCATGATCATCAATCTACACAATTGGGATACGATGACACGTGTCAACCAAGTCAGCGAGCCTGACCATCCGGTTCCGTTAATTGCCTCTTTCGACAAGCATGGGTTGCTGAAGATCAAATCAGATATTCAGATAAGCAGGACTGGGAGGAAATGCCTTTTTATGCTTAGGTACCTGATACAGTTGAAATTTTCAATCCTTTGTATATCTTCTTTAAGTGGCATTTAAAAGTTGGTATGGTAGAGAAGAACATGTTTTATGGATTGACAACTAATTTATTGCAACTGATTTGGTGTAGACGCTAACACCATTATGAAGCCATTATCACCTGTTTATAACGGTGTTGGTATCTACACTGAAATGTTGCAGCTAATGCAAAACATAACTTGTCCATGTATACAACCTGTTCTTCTCCTTCTGTATTTGCGTAGTTTCAGTTACACGATACAATAAATGGCAGCTATCTGGAGCACTGATAAAGTAGTCCCCATGCACCACAGGGGAGGATACAGCTTCTTGTGAAAGGAGGGGTGCACAGTTCATTTTCACGAGAGTTTCAATGGTCATTTAATAAACTTTTAGGACAAAAGGGGGGTGTGCACCCCCTGTCTGGACCCACCTATGTACCAACAGATGAAAATCGTTTTACTGCTAACTTCATGAAATCTACAAAATGCAAATCTTCCATACATCCATTCTTCCTTTAAATCACATCTCCTGGCAGTAAGTTTACACAGATGCTGAAAACCAGTGTGTATATATATATATTTAAACATAAGTCATTCTCCAGCCATTTTTCTCATTTTGACAGTTAACTTCTTTTGGCCTAAAGATTCAGTAATATGTACAGTTAAGAGGTTGCAGATGCAGAAATAATTCGATTCTGAATCATACCATGAAAAACTGAGGGTAGCTTATGCCTCATCAATTGTACAAGCTGTTTCTCACAGATGCTGTTCAATGAATATTAGACAACCTGTGTACAAAATATAGCAAGTTTTTATCAGTCATGTATTAGAGGTATAAAACAGTCATTACTTTCATCTCCCATATATGAACCACACTTCCATAACTGTCAGCTGAAACATATTCCTTCATTCTCTCTCCACACGCACACAGAAAATAGTTCCATGATTACCCACAATACACTACTGAGCATTTCTGCCATTTCTTATCAGTCTATGCAACAATATAAAGCTACTGTAGAAAGTTTTATATCTCGATGTAAGGAATTGTCACTTTGCGTAGATTCTGGTTTGTAAAAAACATTAAACTGTTCCTCCTGCACCTTAACATCAGAGCGTTGTTTTGGGATGACTGTGTTGTAGTCAGTAGCAGTGAGACTCTTCACACAGGTCCGTCTTGACGAGAACAGATCATACAGAGACTATCCAATGGTTACAATGTAACTATGGCAACGTCCAACATTACCATGACAACATCCCAGGTGCATTGTGGTCCCATGTTCAGTTGTTGTGGTATGTCTTGTGTCCAGGTACGCCAGGCCCGCTCACCACTTCCACATACGATGGTGGTTCCGGGGACGACGGCGGGCCAGACTTCACGGGAGAGTAGTTGGAATACGGGGGAGGTGGGTGCGTTGCTGATGCGAAGAACGTGCTACCTGGTCCTATATACTCTTGGTCAGAATTGTTGCGCTGAAAAAGTAAGGCATCAATGAAAAGTTAAGTAATATTAACGCAAGTTACCCTACTCGGGTATTATGAACCGCAACCAACTCACAGTACCCTACTATAGTTTTATGATTGAGTGAGTGAGTTTAGTTTTACGCCGCACTAAGCAATATTGCAGCTATATGGCGGCGGCCTGTAAATGGTCGAGTCTGGACCAGACAATCCAGTGATCAACAACATGAGCATCAATCTGTGCAATTGGGAACCGATGACATGTGTCAACCAAGTCAGCGAACCTAACCACCCGAACCCGTTAGTCATGGCTATCGATATAGATCATAGAGACTAACAATCGTTAACTAAATATCGATCGATTATCAATAAATATTTGACGCGTAACTTGGAGCATAAAGCCAAAGAAATGATTATATTTCACATAACTTGTGAGCGGTGACATGTTCAGAATGGACTAGTAACAAAACAGTGTCCTGAACATGATTTCATCCTAAATTTGTATATTGTGTGAGAAAATTAAAACTAGTTTCTGTCACAAAAGTTAATAGGCGATATATTATCGATAACACACTTTTCAGATCGATAATCATTAATACATTTTCCTATCAACGATATTTCCAATTATCGTTTATTTTAGCCAGTCCTAGTTATAACCTCTGCTACTAAAGCTATCCCTAAGGACTAAAGAAGTACAGGTACGTAAGATCTGTGAAACAAGTTTCACAGCCTCAGACTGTTAGCTCAATGGAACCTTTGAAAACTTCATTGTTAGCCTAAATCAATCAATAATGTTACCACGTGAGAAATAGCCATCCCTCTTAAAATACGTCCCACAGAATTTCTTGCAATTTGAATCAACTATAACTGAAGTTATGTTTTCAAATTTGTAAGAGTATTTAGAAACTATAATAGAACAGACCTGAAATACCCTGGATAACTGAAAATGTCATTTATCATGTTCATGTTACCATATACAATGTTACAAACTGGATCAAACTAAGGGACAATGCAAACACATGCTCAGCAGATCCTGACATGACAAAGGTACATAACTCTACAATGTAATTCTGGAAAACTTGACATTTGCCTTCAACTGTAATACAGTTGGTGCAAAACCATAAAAATCTATTCTAGACACATTGTCTCATAGCCACTGAATCTAATTCTATGAATGAAAGGACAGAGAAACACAAGTCAACTCACGCAGTGTAGGGTGCTGCCATCTTGCCTCAGGGGGCTGTAGTTGTATTTGTTGATGATGACGGTGCCGGGATGTCGGAAACGCCATAGGCACGTGCACATGGAGAGAAGAATCATGAAGAACACAAGACCAAACCTGCAAACACAAACACCATGTATATCACTCTGACAGTAGTGCTTACCATTATTGCTTTTGATCAAATTCTTAGTTTGAAATTGAACCTTAACATTATTTTTAGGTTTTTAGTAAGTATGTAAAATCAGTGTCACTCACTGTCAATCCCTTTAGCTCCCAATAATTTTGCAGGAATAATGCTAAAAGTGGCATAAAAACACTCACTCACTTCACTTCCTGACTGCATTCAAAAAACGTGATCAGTGGTAAAATAAACAAGCATTGTCACTAAGGTGACATAATCCCCCGCTGCAAATTATCAAATCAATCTTAAAAATTAATGAAAGTTTAAGACGAAGTTAAATGTCAACAAAAACATGACCAGTCAACCTCTCTTGATATCTTCTCTTTAGTTGTTCAAACACAAATATTTCAAGACTGACTTTGACCTTGACATGAATGTCATAGTGCATGAAATATGCAAAAATGGTACTAAAGAAATTGCTTATTGAAAAACATCAAAGGAAGTCTGAAAGTCTATGAAGAAAATCAAGTGAATTCATGTTAACATGCTGAAATCTTCAAAGTGTCGCAGTGACCTGGAAAATTATGTAAAGGTCACCAAAATTAGATGAAGCTTGGTGTCAAATATGAAAAATATCCAGCGAATGGTTTTTGCAATATCTTGCTGACTATCTTAACATGCAATTTAACATGCTGAAATCTTCAAAGAGACCTTGAAAATTAAGTGAAGGTCACCAAAATCGACTGGGCCTTACACTTTCCCTAGATGAAACTAGGTGTTATATATGAAGAAAGTCCAATGAATGGTTCTTGAGATATCTCACTGACCACCTTAACATGCAAGTTAACGTACTGAAACCTTCAAAGTGTTGCTGTGACCTTGAAAATTAAGTGAAGGTCACCAAAATCGACTGGACCCTGCGCCTTCCCTAGATAAAGCTTGGTATTGAATATGAAGAAAATCTAGTGAGCGGTTCTTGAGATAGCTTTACATGCAGGTTAACATACCGAAATCTTTAAAGTGTCGCTGTGACCTTGAAAATTAAGTGAAGGTCACCAAAATCGTCTGGACCCTGCGCCTTCCCTAGATAAAGCTTGGTATTGAATATGAAGAAAATCTAGTGAGCGGTTCTTGAGATACCTCGCTGACAAGAGTAAAACGTTAAAGTCCCCTTGTGACCTTGAAATGAAGGTCAAGGTCACCAAACCTGACTGGAACCTTTCTTATACTATGATGAACCTAGGTACCAAATATGAAAAGAATCTAGTCAACGGTTCTTAAGATATTCTCATTCGTACGTAAGGACTAACGGAGCCTAATACTATATCCCCCGCTTTGCTCTAAACGCTCGGCGTGGGATAAATATAACCCAATTTAGAAAGCTGAGAATCAATGCATTCCATACATAATTCGAATGACACATAAATCGGACTTGCAAAATAATTATTGCAAGTTTAATTTGGGGATGGCATTGTGCTGCTCCCCTGTCGCATGGGTTTAAGTTGGTGTGTTAGTGTTCTTGCTTTAAGATGTGTGTATTCACGTGTGCATGGGCTCGCTAATAATGGGAAGGGTAGGATGCAATAACAACCGTTCTTTAGTCTTCTTTTTCCACTTTTTATTTTTGTGTCATAAGGTCATTTAAAAATACCATTCACAAATTAATTAACAAGGGTTGAAAGCCGCACAATGCGTGACGTATCAGAGGAGATATCAATAATACTCTTTGTGGTTCTTCCATCTTTGTATGGCGACGAAAATCCATTAAAATTTTAAGCATCATTTTTTTCCCCCAGATTCTGGATTCAGATGGTGGGTGGATTCTCAAAAACCAAAAGAATCAATTTTAAGCATGTTTTCATACATAAACCTGATTCCCATTGTTAGTGGGTTCAAAAAGAAAATATATCAATGAACGCTGAAGAGGAAAGTGACGTACCAGAAATACCAGAGTCCCCACACCTTGTACGATGTGCAGCACAGGTTGTCTCCACAGCAGTACTCATCTTCACTGCATCTGTAAACCAACAAACCATACAGGTAAACAGGTAAACAGGTAAACAGCAACTGGTTTATCATGTTTATAGGCCTGTAACAATTCGCTGAGACCTCGATTCGATTCAATTTTAGATATTGGACCTTCGATTCGATCATTTTCGATTCAATTCTTCATACAAGAAAATACATCAGATTTCATTTAACTCTCAGAGTCGGCTTTTTTAGTGTGAAATCCAATGTCAACTTGGAGATGTCTACTAACAACAATTCTCATTGGAAAATTAGCCTGGTGTCAACCATTCATGTTTTGCCTTATTTCTGCGCTCGAAACTGCTTGAGATGGAGTCAAAATTACGATATTGTTGATAAACCTCACACCAAAGTACCAACTTTCACAACTTTAAGAACCCATGAAAATCTGGGTTAAAATTGATTTTTAGTAACCTATGTTTGTCGTAAGAGGCGACAATCGGAATCAGGCAGTTAGGCTCGCTGACTTGGTGGACACATGTAATCGTATCCCAATCACTGCTATCACTGGATTGTCCGGTCTAGGCTGGATTATTTAAGGACCGTCCCCTTATAGCTGGAATTTTGCTGAGCGTAGCGTTAAACAACAAACCAACCAAAAACTTTAGGTGTGAAGACATATGGTTTAAAATCACTGACTTTTCTTTCGCTGGGCCGACTCGGCATCCACTAAACCAGGGAGGCTACTGCTTCAAACACTCCCCACTTAGCTCTATCTATTAAATCCCCTCTTATGCAAGAAAAATTCAAAAGGTGTTAAAGATGCACTGACAAAGCGATGTGCAGGAATGTGCATGTAGCTGCTAGTATAAGTCTGGAAAAATGTGACCCGTGAAGGTCTGGGTTAGAACTGATCTTCAGTAACCCATGTTTGTCGTACGAGGCAACTAACGGGATCGGGTGGTCAGGCTCGCTGGCTTGGTTGACACATGTCATTGTATCCCAGTTGCACAGATCGATGCTCATACTGTTGATCACTGGATTGTCTGGTCCAGACTTGATTATTTACAGACCGCCGCCATATAGCTGGAATATTGCTGAGTGTCCTGTAAAGCTAAACTCACTCACCCACTCACTCACTCAGGAACAATGCTAGATTGATACTGCCCACAGAGACAACCATAGTCTAAAATGGAACACAGACCTCACTGACAAGTACCATCTTTTACAGTGTTAGAAACCTTTCAAAATTTCCCACTATACCACAGTGAGTGGACAATAATTAGTGGTCCTGTCTGTACTTCACTGGTCCAAAATAACATTCGTAGATTTACCTAACTTCGACTTGCGAGTATTCCTTTATTTGAATCCTTGTTAAAATATACGATCTCACTTTCTAATTTAAAGACAATTTTAATTATTTGATGGGGAAAAAAATTCACTGGCCACCTGGACCACTGCAAACTTATCATTTAGCTGTCCTGATGAATTTTTACTAGTCAGGGACCACAGGACCAGCGTAAATTTCGCACCCTGCTTTTACACATATAGGTATGAGAACCGTGATGAAACAGACTTTCTGCTCTTTGAACAAACTTGCTATCCACTGGACCACGGACACTTTTAAAACTTTTTCTAAAATGTCTAGAAATCGAATCATTTTGGCAAAATCTAGCTAGGTTTGCCTGAAGGAATTCTTTCCTCTCGCTAGGGAGATGATTTCTCTAAGATACTCCTAGACCAAATGTAGAGATAGCATCAAAATGAGGTCATATATATGATGCACCCGGCCTTATCATCCATACTGCATATCCTGACCATGTTGAACACCAGTGCTTGTCGCCGTCCATAAGACCATGGGGTTATACTCATGCAGATGGTCTGTGAACATGTGAACACTGTTTCAACAGTGGGGTAAACTAGGGGTGAAACGGTATAAAGCTGAATTAGGTTTAGCTCTTGTTGTCAATTTTCTGCATTATGATCATATCTCACATACCGAAACGGACCAGGCCGAACCGAACCAAAGGAAAATACTGCAATACGTACCGATCTGCGGTAAGAACGTACCGTTTCACCCCTACCAAATTCCAACGTAAATCCTTACCTGTCGCTGTCACAGTAGTAGGCTGCAATCTGTAACAAAACAAGCAAATATGAAACCAATGTTCAGAACAGGTCTCAAGGTTACCTTCCAAGCCATTCAGAATTTACTCTCAAGTTATCATTCACATTGGATAATGATTAGGGCTGGCTAAAAAGATCAATAACTGGAGATATTGTTGATGGGAAAAATTAATAATGATTTCAATATGAAAAGTGTGTCATCGATAATATTGCACTTAAAAGTTAAACTAGGGTATTAAATAATGTTCTCATTTACTCAGACAATGCAAAAGATTAGGTCTTGATTCATGGGCTGCTTTTAAATAATGGTCAGGAAGGTATTTTCTTAATAATCCAAGCCTAAATATGTCACCACTCACCATAGATGTGAAATATGTGAAATATGTTGATTTCTTTCAGATATTTTTGCTCAAAGTTACTTTTCCAATATTTATCGATAATCAATTGATATAATAACGACATTTGTAATGCACTAAATTCCAAATCCCAGAGGGGCACACTCAAAGCGCTAACAATCTGATTATTATTACCTTGGATAACACAAGCTGCCTGTGAGGCGCTAGACGGTTAATAGTCACATGACTTATCCCACCGGGTACCCATTTTCTGTTGGGTGAACGGTTACCGATGACTGATCTCTATGATTTATATCGATAGCCAGCCCTAGTAAATTGAGATTACTAAACGAGTGTCTGTCAGATACCATTTATCTTACGAGTTGTTTCAAAACGTATTTAACGAGCAAAAGTCAGTTAAATTAGTTTTGAAACAACAACTTGTAAGATAAGTGGTATCTGACAGACACGAGTACAGTAATCTGTTTCTTACACACCATTAAATCGCACCATTTGATGGTTGATTAGATTCATATTTCATATTTTCTCATCACAGCTGCTCAATAATACACAACACAACGTTTATGAATGAGTGACGTCCCTTGGCTTCCTAATCACTACTCATCCCCATGGTGGGGCGGTGGGGTAGCCCAGTGGTTAAAGCGTTGGTTCGTCCAGCCGAAGACCCGGGTTCGAATTCCCACATGGGTACAATTTGTGAAGCCCATTTCTGGTGTCCGCCGCCGTGATGTTGCTGGAATATTGCTAAAAGCGGCGTAAAACCAAAATTCAGTCATTCCCATGGTGACCCTCCACAAAAAAGTTTCTGCCACCTCTTCGCATCATGAGGCAATAGTGATAATGATAACTAGATAAGATCACGGAAAATGAATTTAACCCTCTAAAATGATGATGTTACCATGCAAATGTGGATGATTTTAATTCTTTCAAGCGTAAAATATTTGAGTGTGTGACGTCATTGTTATTACTTGGTGGTTGTCGTCATCAGAAGATTGTTTTGGATATGTGCACATTGGGGATCTGTACTTGTGTACCAGTTTACGTTCATAGTTCTCCCATCAACCGGAGCCAAAACTTTTGAGTGTGTGTACTTAGGTGCACCCAGTGTGCTTGAATGTGACATTGCTGAGGTTACGTTCACTATCAATGGGGGACTACTCTTCTTTGCCAAATCCTTCTCGTTTCCCGAGCCAGAAACTGCCACTTGGAATGTAATGGAATTTACGGAGTTTTCAGTATGAAATGTGAGTTGATAACATCCTGTATGTTATCAAGACATAAACTTTGCATTATCATGCATCGGAGGAATATCTTGATCAACTGTTCCTGTACATGTTCAAATAGAAAGGATGTGTGCCGCCATTTTCACTCATGAAGCCTTGCAAAACCTTCCATGTCGTACATTGTTTCAACGAGTGTGTTTTGGTTCTGATTGTCATGAGTGAATTTGATAACATTGGAATCACATAGTATCTCGGAGCTGGAAGTGGGTCTTCATCATGTGTATCAGTAAAAATGTCATCTTCATCAATGCATCAAAGAAACAACGAGGCAAATTGATCTCACAATGGCCAGGCACTGACCTTATCGTGTCTTGTGTTTTTGCAAGACGACACATGACACTTGTCGCATCTCTCCAATAAAAGTACCAATGTTGTACATTTTGAATATACGAAGGGAATCCAAGGCTTTATCTCTAACAGTGATTTTCACATAATTGTTTACACAGGTATCACTGATTGTTCGAGCCATTTTGAATTCATGACTAGAAATCAAAAGTTTTAATAAAAGGATGAGAAAATAAATACATTTCTGTTATATTTATTCTACTTGTGACTCATTGTATAAATACCTGTTCATGTTGCAATCGCGAAAATAACAGGTAGGTGTAAAGGGGTATTTTTTGCACGAGTAACAGTTCGATTGAAGCACGAGTAACTTATCAATGAATCAGGAAAGTAGTCCGTCATAACCTGACCCTAGGTCATAACCATGGAGTAGCCAATCACGGGATTAGATATCGATCTCACACATATGTGTGATACCAGTGTTCTCACATGGGTTTCTCACCCACAAGTGTGTAAGAATGATAATTATCACATCAGTTCAGCTAATGCCACAAGTGTGTAACATGTAGCATAAACTCACAGCAACAATGTTCTATTGATTATGTACTGCAGTAAAGTTTGTCTTACCAGGGATTTACAGGACGCGAATTCCTGCGCCCTATACACATGAAATTGACAATGGATGCAACAAAATTTATTAGCATGTCTACAGGGACTCAGAAAAAGTCCAATACGTTTTGTAAAAATTCCAATCAAGTGACAATAAGTTATTACTGAGTTTGCTACTAGCTGGGTTATGGTATTGTTTGCAATTTAATTACTTAACAATGTGATGATCATGATACTCAATACAATAACAGTATTAATAATAATATTTAAGTGTCTGGGACCCCCATATTTGTATGCAACTCAACATGCTCAAACAATGTACCCATGTGGGGAATCGAACCCAGGTCTTTGGCGTGAAAGCAAACGCTTTAACCACTAGGCAACCCCATTGCCCCTTTTCCGCCATACCCGTGAAGATCCGGGTTAGAATTGGTCTTGAGTAACCCATGCTTGTCGTAAGAGGCGACTAATGGATCGGGTGGTCAGGCTCGCTGACTTGGTTGACATATGTCATCGGTTCCCATTTGCGCAGATCAATGCTCATGCTGTTGATCACTGGATTGTCTGGTCCAGACTTGATTAGTTAGCAGGGTCCTGTAATACTAGCAACGCTACGACTGTCTTAATTCCTAAAATTCATCACAGACCTACGATAGTCGTAGCTCTACAATTAGCTCAATTTGTATTCTTTGAATTATTATCAGTGTATTTCTATTGTGTTTTTGCTCAGTTCAATGTAAAAACAAAATGGACGAATCATTAGACTTGCCACCCTGAGTGCCTCCACCATTGTTACCCGCCATGACCATTTACAGGATTACTATTACTGGCTTCACAAAACTATGTCAGACTTAAGGTTTTAAAGGTCAGATGGGACAAACAGGTCCTGGGTACTAATACAAGGCAAATAATCACGGCTACAGTGTGTAAATAGTACTTAAACGACTCCCATTGAAAACCCCTCCGATTACCTGTGACAAGTAGAAACCGTGTCCCTGGCCCCATAATAAATCAACACCAAGGCAATAGGTAAGGTTTATATCATATTTGGTTCACAACTTATTTCATGAAAAATATTGGTTAGGGGTGAAAAGTAGACTCAAGAAAATTAGAAAAAGTAGAAAAAAATTCTGGATTTTCTGGATCTTTGTTGATTCTTGTAAGACATGCAATTTAAGGCTGTACAAATAAATGTCCTTACTTGATTAACATAATGTCTTTACTTTCAGCAACCTGTAAATAATCGAGTTTAGACCAGTCAATCCAGTGATCAATAGCATGAGCATCGATCTAATTGGGTCAGTGAGACTGATCCCCGGGTTGCTGAAGACCAATTGACGGGTTCACAGGTACTGAGAATTCACCCTAATTTCCCGATTGGCTGTTTGTTTTATTAGAAAATTTACCCCAAGAAATAGTGATTATTAACTGAGAATGTTTCAGAATTGTACCTATCACATATTTGACAAAAGATGCAAGCCTTTTGTGACCTGTGACTATGTCGTCAAAACCGGTTTGTGATGATCATACATGCGGCGGTGGGGGGTTTGCATATCTTTTGGAATGGAATATTCTTCACCAAAATATTATTGTAATTGTTTAACAATTCCATGTGATGGAATATTTCTATGGCAAACAACCAACACAAAAAACAATGTTGATCTTGCATACTGAATGTTCTTGAAACGACTGCAAATATATATTCTTTAAACAAAGTAGGGGAACTTAATATTTCATTTACAATTGCAAAAATTGGGAGATATGTCGGAGTAAATCAATGTTAATTTGTTGATAATGAATGTTTTGAGAGTGAATCACTACTTGCACTTCCTTATGACCATAGTTGTTTGTACAGTTATTGCTCTTGAAAGATGATTGGTGTATGACGTGAAATTTGCATGTGTACATTTTTCATTTTCAGACAAAAGAACATGGCTAGAAACAAACACTGACTGACTGACTGAGTTTTGGTTTTCCGCCGCTTTTAGCAATATTCCAGCAACATCACGGCGGGGGACACCAGAAATGGGCTTCACACATTGTACCCATGTGGGGATTCTCTTCGGTGAGAAAACAACCACTAGGCTACCCACAGAAACAAACACTAACAACTGTGGGATGCAAGATGATTGTCAAAATTAATGGTCTACAAATTTATATAGACCATCTTGATAACTGTCAAAATCAAGAATGATGCTCCATGCACGTGTTTGGGGCAACTGCATGGGGCACTTGCATCCCATGCATTATGTTTAGGGGGGTGGTAAAGAGAAATGGTGGTGTGTTCAAAAGATTCTTATCCAAATTGAAAATTCGGGTTCCCTTACTGTTTTTTTTTAAGAGCATATATAAGAGGGACACAGCGCTTCTTCACTTGTACCTTGTCAAGGTCTAACAACTCCAAAGGATTTTTGGCTGTTAATATGTCACACTCATACGATTAAGTACCTGATTCACCAACTTAGCATTTGGTTGTAGCAAAGATGTGTTGAATAGTTTTGACAAAGCAAACTAATGGAACACAAGTATAACGGATTGTGTTCCACAGGAGATATTGCTTGTGTAAGATCAAACAATATCAACTACGAGATATCGTTTTGACAGTAGATTTTGTACAATGCCCTAACAATGTTATGACATCATGAACTTGATGATGCACAATGCTATGACATCTCTGCACTGCAAGTCTAATGACAGTCCCCGGTTCCGAGATGTGCATGTTTCATTGAAAACTAAAGAAGAGTGACGTTTGATGATAAATAGAATCTCACCTTCGTCTCTTCCGATATTAAATATATCAACACTCGTTGACAAAAGTAAAAATATCCTCGTGAAGCCTCAGATATTTGTAACTTTATCAACTCATGGTGATACTCGGGTGAGATTCTCTATGTAATCAAATAGTGGTATTGTAACTTCTTTGTGTGGCATTTTAGAAATTGGAAAGTACAACGTTGACAAACTTTATGGACATCAAGTTCTATTCTTTCTTGAGCATTATTGTTGAGTGCTATGTTTCGATACAGATTATTGTACCACTGTCAAGCTGAAATGTTGATCAACACTAGCAGTCGTCAGTAGTCATATAGTTGTGGCATTCAGTTACCATGGTTACTATCAATCAATCTTTATTTCATACTGAAAAGCCCCAGGCCTGCAGTAAGATACAATTATTCATGTGGGTAGTAATATTAAATAAATTCTTTCTGAGAATAAAAGCTGGGTGAATTTATATGGACAAATTTTCTAAATGTGTTTTACTGGCATTATTCATCAATGATAAATGAGTTTCTGGATGTACAGAATAATATTTCTTCATATATCTATTTCTTAACGAGAGGTATGCTGGGCAAACACATAAAAAATTTAATTCATCTTTGACTCCATTTAAGTTGCACGTTTGACAGACTCTATTTTCTTTCTTACTTCTTTGGTATCTCCCAGTTTCAATATATATACATCATGCCCAGAGCTGCGGAATCTTGCCAGTGAAGATGTATAATTCCTTATGGTCAAAACTAAAAGATAATGTTCTGCATATGTGGAATCAATGTAGTTAAACATTTATTAGATAATGATAATAATTAGATAAAGATCATACGCACTCACAAACACTTGGTATTTCTTTTCCATTTCTGTAATCTATTTTAGTGAAAACTTGATCAAAGGTCAAGTACAATATGACATAAGCATACATACTGAATGAAAAGTTTATTAGAATCTGTTCATGGATCACACAGAGGGTTAATGCATATGTTAACACTTCATCTGTAAACTAATTAATCTGTTTACTCAAGACAGTGTCACAATCCAAAGCCAAGTGACCATGGTTACATAATTTGCAACATGAGTTTTTTAATTCTAAGTTGATATGACACTGAGTCTGTGATGTGTCCTGACTTCCGTGTTATGATGTTAATCTATACAAATAATGTATGAATTCCTTTCTTTACACATTCACAATTTTGGATCTTACATTCTTCAAGTACTTCTGGGACTAAATCTTTGGCATATTTCACTTCTATATTATTGAAAATGAACTTTTATGAATTGAAACCCTGAAATAGTGACATTCATTCTTTCAGCATACATATACAGTATCAAATGACGCTTGTTCATACCTCTCTTTATATCACTGTTTATACAATCTGAAAGCTACAATCGTTTTATTTCCGTCAACAGATCAACTGACTTAAATTAATGAGTAGGTCGCTAGATTATATTGAGATATGCCATGAAGAACCCGTTATTTTTGTCAAATATTACAAAACAAAGTGCTATGTATTCCCTCCAAACGTTAAAACGTCACAATAAAATCAACAGAACATCTCAAACATTGATGCCTAATTTCACAACCGAAAGTAATTTACTTAGTAATGGGCACCATTTGGAGCATTGTTCACGTGGTAAAATTGAAGTGTGTCCGTACAGCATATGTTCATTTTATTTAATGTCACATTGGTTGTGATGTTTAGACAGAACGAGCTGTGAACAATACTGAAAATTTATATACATTTCTGAGCAGGAAACAAAGCCTTTTGTCCAGCCTTTCGAATGTTTGTTTTGTGAAAATTTAAGAAGATATGGAATCAACAGACCAATAAATTCACCCTCTGCCATGGAAAACGGATGCCAATTTGACTACAAATTGCTATCAATAAAAAGACCGGTCCCAAACGCTAATCGAAAACAAATAAAATACCCTGCCATATTGGCATAAACGTACCTCAGACACGCATACTGCAGCAGATATCGTCAATCCTAATGTTTTGGCCGCCATTTTGGTTTGACCTTTGACCTTAAATCATCTGATCAATACGTAATTTCCTCGTTAACGGGAGTGCGAGATATAAACTTAGTGGACACAGATCCTGATACATGCTTAGCTATTGCGACAATGTGAATCCAGGAGTTGTGTAGTTAATTCAATACCTAACTGACATATACACGTGAATCTGACACCCTTTTCTCCATATTATCATCTCCATGTACATGGGGGGACAGCATTAAACGTAATAGCTGCTTGTTGACAATGCTGTATTTTGATTGGTCCAAATTGTCGGGCACCTGAGGTCATGCCTCGAGATTTTAGTGTTGTTTATGTTGCGTAACAACTGTATTTACAACACAACACGATATCCCCGAATGATAAGTGAAACAAACAACAGTGCGGCAAGCGACCTGTTAAACTGCCGGAAACCTTTATAAAGATATAAATTTAATGTAACGGAAAGTTAAGCAAAGTGACGATGAATATAAATGTATTGCAGTCTGGAAAGTTCATTTCAACTTTTATGTTTGGCATTTTTCGAAGATTCCAATTATCAAATTTATAACAAAATATGTTAGGCCCGATGTCACAGCAATGACATAAAACTGAAGCCTTCCTGAAGTCTCTATCTAATTCATCTACCGTACCTTTTATTGATACTTTCCTTTTTCTTTTTAACGTGTTTCGTCAGTTGAAACGTGTCTTTCTCTCAATGGCCGTCATATTTCCCTCTAAAATTTAACACCAAAACATATTTACTTTAAGAAGATTCAATGTACGTAATTAGTTCTTCGCGGGGACGAATGCCAGTTATCACTCACCAAGGTATAGAGAAAAGTAAATAGCTATATTTGTTTGGACCAAGTTCTTCTGGTACATGGTGTAAGAGGGTACCTCTAAGAGCCAGACCCGCAAAATGGAGAAACTGTGATGCGGTTTGGGATGTGATTTTTCACAATCAGGAATGATTTAGCTTTGATTTTGTATAATGTCAGCCTGATAATAATGTCAGCCTGCAAACATCTTCGATTTCTAAATTTGTAAATCATGATTTATCATGATAAATGTTATTAAATACGCTACAGATACTAGTACTCAAAAGCGTACTGTTAGTGCGAACATGCTTATAACGAACTGACCGCCTCCGTGGTGTAGTGGTTAGAGCGTCAGCCCGGAGAGGAGAAGGTCGCGGGTTCGATCCCCGACGGCGTCATACCAAAAGACGTTAAAATATGGTACTTGTTGGTCCCTGTCTGGCGCTCGGCATTAATGGGTACAACAAGGACTGGTCGGCTCGAAGTCAGTATAATGTGTCTGAATGGGGTATTCATGCTTCACTGCGGCATGGTATCTCAGTGGGCTAGCACTATAAAACCAGCTTCAGTCTGGGCTAGTACAAGCAGCCGCACATACAAATACACACGCATGCACGTCGTCATATGAGCGAAATATTCTCAAGCACGACGTTAAACCCAATTTCACCTCACCTTATAACGAACTGAATAAAATTTCGGTTTTCGTCTGATTCTAACTAGAATCGAAATGCTTGTAACGAAATACGGTTATAGCGAACTAAAATTCGTAGTTCCTTGAGTTCGTCACAACAGTAGTTTACTGTAATACAGAGAATACTCGAGACGTTATACATAGAAAATGTTTCCCTCGCCGTGTTCTTCTTGGAGGGGGCGGTGGGGTAGTCTAGTGGTTAAATCGATCGCTCGTGACGCCGAAGACCCGGGTTTGATTCCCTACATGGGTACAATGTGTTAACCCGATTTCTGGTGTCCCCCGCCGTGATATTGCTCGAATATTGCTAAAAGCGGCGTAAAACCACACTTACTCATATATTATTGGAGATTACGCCCCCGAATGGCCGGGGATGTTATTTAAACGTAAATATTCTCTACGCTGCTTTTATCACAACCCCATCTAGTTAGTGAATGAGTGAGTTAAGTTTTACGCCGCACTCAGTAATGTTCCAGCTATATGCACCCCCTGGAACCCTGTACTTCTGGCGTCCAGTGATAGTGATTCTGTACAGCGAGCGCGCCAGTGATAATGATCGGGGATTACGGACGTAAGTGCATCGGTTGATGAAAATATCTCTATTTATTGTTACAAACAAATCATAACTCCAAATAAGCATAGTACATGCATGTGTAGGCATCAATGCATCTCCATATCATTTTCAATGTAGGTAGGTGTAAAACTGAGAGAGTTATCGGCAAGTTAAGATTAGAAACATTCTGTAAAACATAGAAAACTATGCATTGTGTCAATATGAATGTATTAGGGAAGAAATATATAATGAAATCATATTTGTAAAAGTTTAGTGCTCATTTGGGCCAATTTCCTAGTTATTTACTTTACTATTTTTAAAGAATTTATTAAAACTGTTTAATGAAGTGATCGTTATCGCGTGACTGTACGCGCTTTGTACACACTTCAAGTGATTGTGGTTTTTTGTTGCAGTTATCGGAGTTAGCATTCATAATCTCATGCGTCAGTGGCTTCATAACAACTAAAATGATTGAAGTTGAACACCTTGATCTCAGCTTCATTAGCACTGGAAGCGAAAAAGATGTAAATTCTATTAAAAAGATGGAGCATGTTGATGACAACGGGCTTACAGCCTGTACAATATGTAACTAAAGTACCAAGTACTACAAGACTCATGAAGTGTTCCGTATAACCAGCAGCTCTGTAGCTTTTACCCCGCTTTTAGCAATATTTCAGTAATATCACGGCAGGGGACACCAGAAATGGGCTTCACACATTGTACCCATGTGGGGAATCGAACCCGGAACGAGCAAACGCTGTACCCACTAGGCTCGCCCACAAGGAAATGACTGATTATGAGTACGTACAGAGCATATAGCTAGATTTGCATTGTACTGACTGAGTTTAGTTTTACGCCGCTTTTAGCAATATTCCAGCAATATCACGGCGGGCGGGACACCAGAAATGGGCTTAACACATTGTGCCCATGTGGGGAATCGAACCCGGGTCTTCGGCGTGACAAACCAACGCTTTAACCACTAGGCTACCCCACCGCCCCAGATTTGCATTGTAACAACTCAGCTAATGAAGGTAAACGTGGAACAAATTCCTGGCCCAAATTTAAGTGAACCCGCTTCCATAAAAGAACTAGTTATATATTTTACTTTCATATTAGAAGTCTACGATACAAACTGAATGGAATGTCTAATCAAAATTCTAAAAACGTTATATTGTGTTCAACTGAAACATGCCTTGGTGGTTCTGTAAGCACAAAAAATTTGGAATTACACCTTTTTCATTCTTGTTTTAAAAAGGGTAGATTATCATTTAATATATTTCATAATTGTACGTTAAACGAAGAGAAGATTTAGAGTCATACATATATAAAAAATATGTATTTCTAGGCTTTCCTGCCACAGAAGAGTTTAGTATTATGTACATCGTACAGGCCACCTAACACCTTTGTGTTATACTGGGATCAAGAAGAATATTCACTTGAAATTGCGTTAGATTATACGCCATATCTTGTTTGATCTGGTGATTTTAGTGCAGATTTCGCGAAGCATAGAGCGCGATCTCATATAAAGATTTATGTAAAATTGAAACACTTGCGTCTCACAAGTAAAACAAATTTCTTTTTGTGTAGGGGATTACCTGCGAGGTGTGGAACAATTGTTCTGCCTTCAGTAAAAATAAACATGAAATATGGTTGCGAGCAGCGATGTGGGCTCCTTGGGCTTGATACAATCTAGCCACTTGTACCTGTGATGTAGATGTTGAAAGTAGTAATGGCTACTGTTAATAGGGATCATATCACTGCCAGTAATAGGAAATTCGTCATTCGTTAACTTTGAATTCATATGGTCCAGGGTTAGATGGGTTAGATACAAAGGATTGTGTAGTATTGTGTGGATAATGACACTTTCGATGTAGATTCTTACATCGTTATCAAGCTAACAGTGACTAGAACCAATTACTGAAAAGTGTTCACTGTGAATAACACTATAAGGACTCCTGAAGCAACAAGCCGATATGGACACCACATTCTCCACTTGAAAAGGTCCGGATTAGAATGTCCCTTCTGTAACCCATGCTTGTCGTAAGAGGCGACTAACGGGATCGGGTGGTCAGGCTCGCTGACTTGGTTGACATATGTAATTGGTTCCCATTTGCACAGATCGATGCTCATGTTGATCACTGGATTGTCTGGTCCAGGCTCGATTATTTACATACCGCCGCCATATAGATGGAATATTACTGAGAGCGGCGTAAAACTAAACTCACTCACTCATGGCAGTTTTGAAGACTCATGAAGATTCTCATTGTAGAATAGGCCTTCAGCAACTAAGGTTTGTCGTTAGTGTGTGTTCGCGCGCGTGTGCGTGCGTGTGTAGGGGGGGGGGGGATTAGGATCGCAGAAGTATAGTTCAAATTAAATATATCTTCAGTTGTTTTAAATACATCCATATTATATTTAAAGATATCAATGATGTGTTAAGATATCGGTAAATAACTGAAGATATCTTTAATTAATTTCCCATACCACTTGTTGCTTCCAGGGGTTTGATGGATATATAAATCTGATTGTCATCTGCATAGATGTGGAACTTTAGTCCAAGGTTCCCTGTGCACTTAAAAGAACCCACGAATCCGTTGGTAGATGACCAGATGGTGGTCACATGAATACGTGCAAACACCCAGTTGCGGGTACAGCAACGTGCAGTGAACTTGGACAAAGTACTGTGACTATGTGTCCCAGTGCACCCAGCTGTGAATGGGTACCTCGTAAGGATGGGAATGCCACAATAACTCTGTGCGCCTAGTGGCTGCAAGAGTTGAGATTGACAATACGATGTGCCGTTGAGATTGACATCCAGTGAACGAGGGAAAAACAACAGCACCTTTGAGCAGCTGAGCTGAGCTGGATATCGGCGCTATACAAATGTATAAATGTAATGTAATGTAATGTAAAAATGTCTCTAATAGGCAGATTGTAGAGGCTGAAAAGCATTAGGCCAAGAACCGAACCTTGAGGAACGCCATACACCATGTGTCTAGGTGTTGGGTAAAGTGAAGACATGCCATAACATGGCACCTAATATACACTAAACGCCAAAAGAAACGTTAC